CTTGCCCCCCAGCTCCAGCGTCACCGGCGTCAGGTGCTTGGCAGCGGCCGTCATCACGATCCGCCCCACCCGGGGGCTGCCTGCGGGCAGGGAAAACGGGGGGGATGGGGACAAACCCACCAGCCATGGCACACCTCTGCCATGTGGCACCCTGGGGCCAGAGCACACACACTGAGTCCCACCAGACCTCAGACACACGTCCCAGATCCTCCAACACATCCTGGCACCACAACCCCAAGCCAATCTCTGCCTTTTAGCAGGCATGTCCGGAGGGAATCCCTCTTCCCCCTCACACCAAAGCCAGGCAGGGCTCTGCTCTGTCCCATGGGACGTACCAGTGAAGAAGATGTAATCGAACTTGTTCTCCAGCAGCCTTGTGCTCTCCTGCACACCCCCAGTCACCACAGCAAAGCAGTCCTGCAAGGGAATAGGATACCTCCTGTCACCATCTGTCCCCACCAACAGCATCCTGGGATGCTGGGACACCGGCTGGGCGTGGAGAAAGGAGGTTCAGCACATGGAAGATATGTAAGGTTGGGGTCGCGAAGCAGGGTTGAGAACACCACGGCCCGGGAACAGGGACAAGGACAAGAAGAGCTTCTCACATTGTCCAGGTAACAGCTCAGCGTTTCAGCAACGAGTCTCTCGGTGTTCTTGGATATCTCTGAGGGTTTGACAATGACGCAGTTCCCTGGGGGGAGATCGACAGGACATCAGCACAGTGACACGGTGACAGCCAGCCCTTCTGGGGACGAGACCCTGGCACTGCCAGGATCCTCTGGGCCAGAGGACTGTAAGGTGGGGCTCACCAGCAGCGATGGCCCCGATGAGGGGCACCAGGAAAAGGTGGATGGGGTAGTTCCAGGGCGATATGATGAGCACCACCCCATACGGATCCTTGCGGATGAAGGCGGAGTCCAGCTGCATCACCTGTGAGAACATCCACGACTTCAGCGCTGCCCTCCCCACCAGCAACCCCTTTTCCCTGCCTTCCCTTTTCCTAGAGCTTCCCTCTTACCAGATTCTTGTCCACGTGCTCGTCCTTCATCCAGTGGCACAGGTTGTTGAGGGTGACGTTGAGCTCGTTCTTGCAGAGGAGGATCTCGCTGAAGTAAGCCTCAAAGGACGGCTGGGGACAGACATCACAAAATGTCACCCCAACACCAACCCCATCACCTCAACACTGACCCCAACATGGACTCCGTCACTCCAGCACAAATCCTGGCATCGACCCGGCCACCCCAACACTTACCTCGTCACCCCAACACCAACCCTGTCACCCCAGGAGGAGTCTCCCCCCTCTTCCAAGCATGAAGAGCAGGAGAAGCTCTTAAGCAGAAGTTGCCATCACCCCCTGTAACTCCCAGGGAATATCAGTGTCCCGGAAATTTTATGAAAATAGGTATCTGACCGGAGGGAAAAAAAAAAAACAAACTAAAATTGAACATTTTCATAATATTTAACAAATTCCTGAGCTCAGCGCTGTGCACCAGCAACAGAGCCCCAAGCCAAGAGGAAACAGAGCAATATCACTGGAGCTCCAGAAGAGCTGGTCCTCGTGCCAAAGGCAGCTCCACACTGCTGCCCTGGGATGGGACAGTGCTCTTGCATCCCAAGCACTTGGATACTCAAGCTGGAAGCAGAGCCTGGAGCTTCCTCCCTGGGCCCATGGACAAAAGCTGAACTTAAGACCTTGATTAAAGGGAAATACAAAGAACCACAGCTTAATTAAACCCCTCAAGATGGAGAAGTGGGTCCTCTCCATAGCCATGGAGCACAGATCAAGATCACACTTGCAGGAGAACTGTGAAGGCACCAGGGATAACCCAGCAGGCTCAGTGGAGCCCCTTCATAACTGTGGAGAGCCGGAGGAGCAAAGCTCCTGTGCTGTGACACCGTATTTTTGAGTCCTCCAACTCCAAAACATCCCTGGATTGGAGCCTTCCTCCCATCCCCACACTACTTTGGGGTTGGGAAGGCTGGTTGTTGATTCCCACAATGTTCCACCACCCCAAAACACCGGTGCCAGGAGGCGTGAGGACCGTCCCGGACGTGAGAGCTCAGTAGGCACGTGCGATAATCTGGTGAAGCAACGGGGCTGCTCTTGATCTGGGATGACAGTTGCATCACCACTAAGAGGAAAATGATGGGTCATTAAGGGTTTTGATGAGATATGAAGGTTGTGAGATGGGACATTAAGTCTGATGTCATCCAAGTGCTGCTGATCATCGGCACCGGAGAGAAACCGGTGTCGCTGGAGGTGAGGCAGCACCTCAGGTACGTAAGGGCAGGTGAAGTGTCCATCCAACTATGAGGGCCTGGCTGCATAACAAGCTCATTACTAGACAACCAGATCTAATTAGACATAATTAAGAGAAGCGATGGACACACTCGGAGCACTGATGCCTATCGAGGCCTGGCTGAAAGAGAAGGACTCGCCCCCAATAAACAAGGCAATTAGGAGCCTTGGAAGACGGCAGGACATGGAAGGATGTGGCTGAGGGCACAGGCTGCTGCGCTGATGCCGGGCAAAGAGGTGAGGACCCTATCATGGAACCCTGGAATGGTTAGGGTTGGAAAGGACCTTAAAGCTCATCCAGTGCCACTCCCTGCCACAGGCAGGGCCTCCTTCCACTAGACCAGATTGATCCAAGCCCTGTCCAACCTGGCCTTGAACACTTCCAGAGAGATGAGCTGAGACCACTAAAATTATCCACGGTGGGGATGCTTCCGCTTCGTCAGTGGATCATCCAAGACCTCCTGGCATTCTGCAATACCCTGGGCCACATCCAGGTCCCTGCCCATGCTACTGTGCCAGTGAAACCAGTCCCTGTAAGGCTCTGGGAATGTGCAGCGCCAGCGCCTTGCACAACGCCAGTAATACCGGGTGTGCTGGGAGCACCCCAGGATATCACCCTCTGTGGAGCTCACATGGACCCCCAGGGGCTGGATGTGTGGGGGGACACAGAAGGCGAAATGTTCCCACTTCACATCAGCCAAGGTGGCCTTTGCCGAATTTCAGGGCACCAGGGATGGGATCAGCAGCACAGTCCCTCCGCTGTCCCTGGATCTGAGGGGACCCAGCACCTATGGATGCACCACACCAGCCCTGAAGCACACCTAGAGGGACACAGGACACTGGAGAGGAGATATCCCATGCCTTGACCCCCACGAGGATGCAACAGCCAGACAAAGGGGCATGAAGGACCCCAAAGACATGATGACAGTGCCCCTGAATCCCAGCCCCCTCTCACCTTGCCCATGTCCGCAGCGGTGGCCTCCAGGATCTCCTCCTTCTTATCATCCAGGAAGCGTCCCAGGGCCTCCAGCTGGGCCGTGCGGTATTCCAAGGGCCGTGTCTTCCCGGAGAGCCAGGATGCCCGCAGGTGGCTCACCAGCCCAGCATAGGGGTTCCCGCTGCAGGGATGGAGGTGTCAGAGGGACCCCATCCCCATCCCAGCTCTTCAGAGCATCATGTCACCCCAGATCCATGTCATCCCATCCCAGCATCGAACTGGAGCCCCAGATTCCCTGGGGACAGGGCAGGGAGTCCACACACTTGTGTTTTTCCCTTGCTGCCGGGAGCAGCCCAACACGGCACTGTTCCTGGCAGATCCCACCTTCTCCCTTGGGCCATGCTGGAAGGTGGTGGCCCGCAGATCCCAGACTTGTCTCCCAGCACAAACCTGGGGTCCCCATTGTACTGGCACTGTCACAGCCCCCCAGCCCACCCTCCTGTCCCCAGCCCCTTGTTCTCACCATACAGTGCTGCAGACCAACGGCACTGGTCCCTTCCCGATCCCACTACCTCCACTGCACCCAGCAGCTTTCCCAACGTCTTTGCCGGGATCACTGCCCGCGGTGCTGCACTTGCCGTAGCCCAGGGGCTGCTGCCCGGGGGGCTCGAGGGGCTGCTGCATGCCAAGCTGTTGGAAGGAGCTGCCGGTCTCCATGGAGAGTGTGGTGGTGCTGGGGAGAGACGGGGGTGGTTTATGCCAGGATTGAAGCGCAGGAGCTGCCGGCTCAATCCCAAGAGGAGTCACCTGCCTGCGGCACCTTTGAAAGTGCCTGTTTGGTGCTCGGGGCCGTCCTGGTTGTCGGGGTGACTCAGCCCGGTGCTGCTGCCCGAGGCCCCGGGAGATGCCTGAGATTCCCGGGATGACTGCCAGCCTCTGGACACTGACCTGCCCGGGCTTCTCAACTGATGTGGGGTCACCCATGGGGACCTCAGGGACAAGACATCCCCAAATCTGGGGGACAGAGCTGCAGCCCGACATCTGTCCTCCCATTCCTCTCCATGCCCAAGGCACCCACCCCCTTCCTCGAGGGAACCCCCCCAATGCCTCACAACCCCCACCCACATGGGGGATGCTAAGGGGGTGCCTCGCAGGGGATGCCAGTTTTGGGGACTCCGCAGTGCCTACCTTGGGAGCTGCGCAGGGGCTGCAGGAGCACGAGTCCAGGTGGGCACTGCTGAGGCTCGGGGGCCCCTAAATGCTGTGGGGCCAGTGGCTGGGCCCCATGGCCAGGGGCGGGCAGGATTGGGCCCCGCCTCCATGGGGCTGGCAGTGGGGACAAGGGCTGGGATAGGATGGGATGGGACCTCCCCCATGGGACAGTGGCACTGGGGAACTCCCACGGCCACCAAACCACCACCATGAACCTTGACCCATTGGGACCCCACAGACGCACCTCACCCCGCTCCCAGGACCACCCTGATCCACTGGAACCCCACAGACACCCCTCATCCTGTTCCCAGGACCACCCTAACCCATGGGGTCCCATAGACAGCCCTCATCCTACTTCCCAAGCGTTTCACAATCAATAGACACGCATCATCCTGCTCCCAGGACCACCCTGACCCACGGGGTTCCCACTGACACTCCTCATCCTGCTCCCAGGACCATGCCCAGGAAGGTCCCTTTCCCCCTGGCACTCCAGGGTGGCTACCCTTGCCTGGGGTATGGGGGGCCCTCGGGATGGGGGCTGCCCCTGCCCCACTGCCATGACCCTTCTGGGGCTGTTCCCCACATATCCCACTCATCCTGTAGGAACCAGCACCCTGGTAAGAATCCCATGTCAAGAATCCCCCGCTACCGGCTGGGTCAGATCCTGCCCTGATGTCACCCCTTCCTGCCCTGCCCATGTCCCCCCACCCTGCCCCGGGGCACCCTGCCATGCCACGCACCCGGGCACGCTCCTGGCCCTGGCTTTGGGGTGACAAGCAGGGCAGGCAGTGCCCCATAGCCCCAGACTGGGGTGTCCCCCCGCCCAGGCACTCTGGCACATCCCCCGGGCCGGGAAGGGGAAGCGAGAGTGCCCGGGACCAGCACTCAGTGCACGGGGCACCCCGAGGAGGCAGCACCCAGCCCGGGGTCTGGTGGGAGCGCCGGGGAGGCTGCGGGGGTACAGGGGGGCTGGGGAGGGGAGTTGGGGGGGGGGGGGGGGGGGGGGGGGGGGGGGGGGGGGGGGGGGGGGGGGGGGGGGGGGGGGGGAGGGGGGGGGGGGGGGGGGGGGGGGGGGGGGGGGTTGAGGGTTCTTGTGCAACAGGGGAGCGATGGGTGCGGGGGGGTCAGGGTGCTGTGCAGGGGGGTCAGGGTCATGGGTGCTGCGGGGGTCGGGGTGCTGAGGGCGGGTGCGGGTAGGGACCGGGATGCGGGAGTCGGGGGGAGTCCGGGACACGAGAGGTGCGGGGGTGGAGGGGGGTGGAATCTGGGAGCGGCTCCTTTAACCACCCCCGTCCCGCCCGCCCCGTCCGTCCGAAAGAGGAAGCGGCGACCGCCCCGCCCCGGGAGGCTCTGGCACCGGGTACCGGGACGGGGTTCGGGGCGTCGGGGGGATGCGGTGGAGGCTGGGGGTGCTGGGCCCGGGGGTGGAGTTCTGGGGGGTGCAAAGCTGGGAGGGGGTGTGCAGTGCTGGGTTCAGGGGTGCAGGGTGTAGGCATGCAGAGCACGTGGGTGCAGAGTGAGGGACACGGGTGCAGGATTTGGGGGTGCAAGTCATGGGTTCAGGATCTGGGGGTGCTGGGTACGTGGGTGCAGGGGTTGGGTTAGGGGTACAAGGACTGGAGGTACAAGTCACAGGTGCAGGTCTGGGGGTGCGTCTCTCAGGGTGCAGAGCACATGGGCACAGGGTCCGGGGGTGCAGAGTCAGGGGGTGCAGGGTCTGGGTGTGAAGGACACAGAGGTGCAAGACACATGAGTACAAGACTTGGGGTGCCAACAGGTTCCCCCCCATCCTGGTACCATCCAGGGTCCCCCCAGAAGCAGTGATGGAGAAGGACCCCGACTGCTGCCAGGATGGGGCCAAGACAGTGCCAGGTGCCGGGCTGGGCACTGAGGGGACAGAGACACAGGTGAGGCCGGGGGAGGGAACTGGGGTGGGGGGCAGGCCTGTGGTGGCCATACCCAAGGTCTGACTACCGCGGTCACCTGTAGCTGGACGATTTTGTGGGTGCTCACCCCGACTACAATGAGGAGGAGGAGGAGCAGAAGTACTTCCGCCGCAAGCGTCTCGGCGTCATCAAGAATGTGGTGGCCGCCAGTCTGGCGGGCACCCTCACCTACGGCATATACCTGGGTATGGGCACCTCCCAGGGGTCCCCAAAACAATCCGGGGTGCTCAGAGCACGCAGTGACCGCCCCTGGACCCCCCGCAGGCCTGCTGCAGATGCAGCTGATCCTTCACTATGACGAGACCTACCGGGAGGTGAAGTACAGCAACATCCAGCTGGAGGACATCGACCACAAGGTGCTGATGGGCATCAACGTCACGCCCGTGGCGGCGCTGCTCTACACACCCATCCTCATCAGGTACGGCCCCGCCGCGCTCCCGGCTGGCACAGTGCACCGGCACGGCCGCCCACACTGCCCGCTCCTCACCCCGGCAGGTTTTTCGGCACCAAGTGGGCTATGTTCCTGGCGGTGGGCATCTACGCCCTCTTCGTCTCCAGCAACTACTGGGAGCGCTACTACACCTTGGTGCCCTCTGCCGTGGCCATTGGCATGGTCATTGTGCCCCTCTGGGCCTCCATGGGCAACTACATCACGCGGTAGGCATCGGGTGGGCGGGCGGGGGGCACGGGGGGTGCCGGCTGAACCTGCTGTGCCGTGCAGGATGGCCCAGAAGTACTACGAGTATGTCAACTACAAGGAGGAGCAGGAGAGGGTGCGGGCACCGCGGGACGCTTGCAACGCCTACATCATCATCTTCCAGACCATCTTCTACTCCTGCTTCCACGTGAGGGCCGGTGGGATGGGCGGGATGGGCAGGGGGGGCCGCACCGGCAGCACTGAGCCTGCCCCCCCTCTACATCTCGTAGTTGAGCTTCGTCTGCGCTCAGATGCCCATGGTCTTCTTCCTCAACAATTACCTGTACCAGCTCAACCACACGCTGTTCTCAGTGAAGCACTGCGGTGAGGCCACGGGGGCGTGACGAGGCACTGGCAGCCTCTATCCCCCTCCCTGCTGGGGTTAACCGTGGGGTGTGCCCCCCCGGCAGGGACCCTGAGCCACGGCACGCTCACCGGCTTCAACAAGACAGTGCTGCAGAGCCTGCCCCGCAGCGTCAACCTCATCGTGGTGGAGAGCGCGTTGATGGCCGCCGCCTTCCTCGCCATGCTGGTGGTGAGCGCCGGGCAGGAGGGGACGGCGCCGGGCTGGGCGAGGGCAGCACCTCACCTTTGGCACTCCGCAGGTGCTGGTGCTGTGCGGCGCCGCGTACCGGCCCATGGAGGAGATCGACATGCGCAGCATCGGCTGGGGGAACATCTTCCAGCTGCCCTTCAAGCACATGCGGGACTATCGCCTGCAGCACCTCCTGCCGCTGTTCATCTACAGCGGCTTCGAGGTGCTCTTTGTCTGCACCGGATTCTCCCTGGTAGGACCTGGGATGGGGTGGGGGGGGAGTGAGGGAGCGGGGCCGCGCGACACTGAGCCCGCCCTCGCTGCAGAACTACGGCGTGTGCACCCTGGGGCTGGAGAAGTTGGCGTATCTCCTCATGGCCTACGGCTTCTCTGCCTCGGCGTGCTCCAGCCTGGCCCTGAGCATGCTGCGCCTGCGCCGACAAATCCCGCTCCTGGCTGGGGCCATCATCCACGCCGGACTCCTGGTGCTGCTCTTCTGCTGGGCGCCGGAGCCCCGGCAGCAGGCACAGGCACCGCTGCTCTACATCGTCGCCGCGCTCTGGGGCACGGGCAGCACCCTCAACAAGACCGGAATCAGCAGTGAGTGGTGGGGGGAAAAAACCAGAACAGCCTTGGTGGTGCCCAAAATGTCTCCAATATCCCCAAAGCATCACCGGTGGTGGTCCCAAAAGCAGCCTTGGCGGTGCCCAAAATGCCTTGGCTGCCCCCAGCTTCTCCAAGCGTCCTCTCCCCACTCACCCTGGCACTGCAGGACACACCCGCTGTGGTTGTCCCGTTGTCCCCCATGCCAAGGGGACCACGGCACGGGAAGGGGGCGCTGATTCTGGTCTCTGCCGCAGTCCTCCTGGGAATGCTGTACAAGAACAAGGAGCGCCAAGACTTCATCTTCACCATCTACCACTGGTGGCAGGCCCTGGCCATCTTCGCCGTCTACCTGTGGTCCGGGCTGCCCATGAAGGTGAGCCCCAGGTGCGCCCCAGCCCAGCCCTGGGACGTTCCAAGCTCTCCGTGTCCCAAACCTCGCTGTGCCGCAGGCCAAGCTGTCCATGCTGCTGCTGACGCTGGTGGTGGCGGTGGGGACGTACCTGTGGATGGAGCGGAAGCTGGCGCGGCGCGTGGAATACCGGCTGCCCCGCCTGCCGCGCCCACGCCACAAGCCCTGCGGGTACCGCTACCTGGAGGAGGACAACTCGGACGAGACCGGCTCCGAGGACGGCGGGGACCAGCAGGACGGCAGGGAGAGCCCGGCAGGGGCTGCCCGCGGGGACGAGCAGCCCAGAGAGGACGGGGAGCAGCTGGGATAGGGAGAGCCCGGCCCCGCCCTGCCCTCAGCGCCGAGCGGGGCCATTGCCCTCCCTGGGGATGCCCAACCCCCCCCCAGTGGGCCTCAAACCCCCTCAGGTCAGGCTTGCAGCCCCCCCCAGCAAAGCAGCCCACAGCGCCCCCAGGTCAGGTCCACAGGCCCCCAGACTGACCTGCAGCCCCCCAGGGAGGCTCACAGACCCCCAGACTGTGGTACAGACCCCCAGGCAGACCCGCGGCCCTGCAGGTTTTGCCTACAGTCCCCTAAGCTGGGGTGCAGCCCCTCAGACAGAACCACAGCACCCCAGCCCAACCCTGCAGACCCCCCAGGCAGGCCGACAGCCCCCCCCGGGCAACCCTGTACCCTCCTGGGCAGACCCCCAGACCCCCAAATTGGGCCACAGCCCCCCTTGCTAAAC